TGGAGAAAAGAGTTTCTCAGTATAGCCTTGGCTGTCCTGTAGACCAGGTCAGCCTCCAACTCACAGAGATCTGCCCGCTTCTGCCTCCTAAGTACTGGAACTAAAGGCATGTGATACTACCACCTATACCAAAAAAAAAAAAAAAAAAAATTAAAGATGGGGACTTTGGGGAGCTGGAGAGATAGCTCTGTGGTTAAGAGCACTGACTGCTTTTACAGAGGACCCAGGTTCAATTCCCAGCCCCTACATGACGGCACACAACTGTCTGTAACTCCAAGATCTGACAGCCTCACACAAGCCTACCTACAGGCAAAACACCAATGCACATAAAATTAATCAATTAAAATAAATTAGAAAGAATTTTAAAAAGGTGGGAACTGTGAAGTGAACCCTCATCTATGGAAACCAGTCACAATGAGCAGGGTCTGCTCACTCATTCCTGGCACATGTCATTTAACATTGTCAGGAATTCCACAAATATTTCTTCAGTTAGTGCTGTGGCTGAAGCATTAAGGTGCTGATGGTGACCAAGAGGGACTCACTGGGAGGAGAGGCAGGTCAGATTGAATTTTGTTTAAATTGAAAGACAGAGTTGTGTTTACACTTGTAATGGATTGTTGGTGGATAGAAGCAAATCTCTCCCATACCCTAGTGCCTTCCAAGAGCCTCCACTATCAGAGGCTGGAGAGCTGGAAAGGGCCTGGGCATTTTAGTATTTGAATTTCATTTTCAAAACCTCTTAGTGAAGCTGGGCGTGATGGCACACACCCATTATCCGAGGATTTGGGAAGTGGAAGTAGAAAGATCAGAGTTCACAGCCTGGGCTACAGAAGACCCTGTCTCAAACAAACAAAAGTCAATCTTAACCAACCCTGTCTGAGGAAGGCTCAGACAGAAGGAAGGAAAGACCAGTGTTGTTAAAAGACACTGGTTGTGTGAATAGCAGCACAATCAGAAGGACAAATGTATTGAGCTTTCTGTGTCTGTGGTACACAGGAGAATACTGATCCACACCCCTGCACCTTTTAAAGATGTGGATCCAGAGTGGCTCTGGACGATGTGAGCAAGCTGGAGTTTGGTACATTGTACTTCCTAGTTTTTGGAAGGCTATCTTCAGGTACCTCCATTTCTCCTTCTCCTTGGCCCCTACAAACAGGGTTTAGATGGAAAGACCCTCGATGAGAAACAGGTTGTTCTGCAGCTTGATTTCAGGATACCTAGAAATGTCAAGTCAACCAGTGAGAAGGCTCAGTGGGGCAAAGGCATATAACTGCCAAGTGTGATGACCAGAGATCCATCTCTAGAACCCACGTGATGGAGTGATGGAAGGAGAGAACCAGTTCTCACAAACTGCCCTTGGACCTTCACACAGTTCCCCCTCCACACTCACTATTTTTAAAAAAGATTTATTTTTTATTGTTTTTAATTATATGTGTGTCTATATTGGTGTGTATATATGATTATAGGTACAAAATAGTTCACAAGACAGTGTCAGCTCCCTTGGAGCTGGGGTTATAGTCGTGAGCCACCCAACACAGGTACTGGGAATTGATCTAGGGTCCTCTGCAAGAGCAGTACATGCTCTCAATAACCAAGCCATGCCTCCAGCCCCCCCCACCCCAAGAAAAAAAATTTAGAAAGATTGATTATCCAAATCCTTACACTGAGATCTAATTATTTCCATAAGTTCTACAGCTTCTGCTTCTGCCATAGTCACACTGTTATTCATTTACTCAGAATCACACTAGTAGACATTCTGGTGTACCATTTTTTTACTTTTAGAACATTTAAATGAATATCCTTTTTTTTTTTTTTTTTTTTTTTTTTTTTTTTTTT